TAGTAGCTTAAAACAATTCTCATTCATTAATACTCATGATTCTGTGGGTCAGAAATGTGGGCAAATGTCAACTGGTGGTTCTTCAGCTACACGTGGCCTCAGCTGAGGACCATCATTTGGCTGTGCTCAGCTAGTACCTGGGCTGACACACCCAAGAAGGCTTCATTCACATGGATGGTGCCTCGGTGCTTCTCCACGTGGCCTCTCATGTGCCTAGCTTGGGCTTCTTCCCAACATCATGGTCTTCTGGGTAACTGAATTGTTACATGGCAGCTGGATTACCCTGAAGAAAAGCAGGAGCTGTCAGGCCTGGAACTGGCTCAGTGTCACTTCTGCCACCTTCTACTGGTCAAAGAAATTCATAAGAGGAAGGAAAATACACTCTACCTCTTGGTTGGAGGATTGACACATATACACAGGGGTGGGAAGAGATAGTAGCCATCTTTGGCATATCCCTTCCATAGCCTTCAACTCTTTATTCAGCTATTAATTTATTGTTCTCCCTAAATTTTCCTTCCTCTTTTTCAAGAAAGTAGTTAGGACTTCATGAACCCTTAGTTCAAGGGTGAGGCAGGGGCCAGTGGGTGTCATGACCAATAGAGACCTGTACTCACCCCCATGACAAAGCAATGGAGGAGTGGAAGAACTTCAGGGGGCATGACTGAATGGTTCAAATACAGAGACTGAACCAGTGGCACCAGGGCTCCCAGACTTGTCAAACTCAGAAGAAGGAGTAAAGTCACCATTTTCTCAGGTACCCTGCTGTCTCTGGCAGTGAGGGTGGCAGTGCAGCCATAATGAACCGAAGGAGAGAGGGCCTCCCTCATTTTACCCAACATCACATATGCCTCCTTATATTTAAGAGCACTCCAAGGAGGCAGAGGGTCCCCAATAACGACTTAGGTTGAATTTCACACCAAAGAAGGAAGAGTGCTCAGAATAGACTTCACATTTAAATAATGTAACATTTCTTGCATAGCTGAGACTCATGTATTGTTGTTGTTGTTGTTATGTGCTGTCGAGTCTACCCGACTCATAGCGACCCCTCCTTGGGTTTCCGAGGCAGTATCACTATGGAAGTAGATTGCCCCATCTTCCTTCCGAGGAGTGGCTGGTGGGTTTGAACCACCAGCCCTCTGGTTAGCAGTCAAGTGCCTTAGCCACTATGCTACCAGGGCTCCCAGACTCATGTATATTAAACCATTAATCCTAATCTTATCAAAGCCAGACTAAAATCAAATCAAACTCATAGGCTCATATCCAATGCCATTAACACTTAAAAATAAAAATGAAGTACCTTATACGAGTATTGGGTAAAACCTGGAAGTTGATTTTTCGGGATGATCACAGCATTGGCCAGTTTCCTGGGTCATGGAGTGATGCCCCTGTCCAGCCTAGAGAGCCATTCTTCGAGCTCCTGGGGAGTGTACCACAAGCCCTCTCCATCTCCTAGCCTCATCACTCACATCCCCATGAATCATGTCCAGCAGCACTGGACTCAGCTCCTTGAGAAGAACCCCTTCCATAGCATTAAGGAAGTGAATAGCTGATGCTCTTTGGCCAGTAGGTTTTGGTGACATCCAGGATCTACTAGCATTAATATTGCCTCTTTTGCCCTTATCTGAGAGGAGGTGTGACACGAGCTGTAAGTTATACAGAGCTCCATGAGCAGGTGCTCTAGGGGTGGTGGGTGCTGTGCCAAGGGGGACCAGCAAACCTGGAGCTCATTTTAAACTGAGGAAACTGAGACAGGCTAGCAGGGGCCAGGGAAAGGTGAAGGACAGTATCTTCAACCCTAGGTTTAAGCATAGGGAGGGGATGGGCTGGGATTCCTGTATGTGAAAAATAGTACTCAGGGTAGTGAAAGGTGAGGGCACTGAGGACAGAGTAAAGCCAACCTCATGGTGCAGTGCCTAAGGCATCTGACTGCTAACCAGAAGGTTGATGGTTCAAACCCACCAACTGCTCCAAGGAAGGAAGATGGGGCAATCTACTTCCGTAAAGATTTTCTGGCTGGGAAACCCAATGGGGGTCATGATGAGTCAGAATCGACTCAATGGCAGTAAGTGTGGCTATGCTGTGCGGCCCACCGGGAACGACTCTGGGCAGTTGCTTTGTCCTGTCCTGGAGGTCAGAGGCCAGGTTGCCCCAGGCCGCAGTAGAACACACATACAGTTCCTTGCCAGGCATTTCACTTTTCTGTAGAAAAACATTAGGAGCTCTGGTAGCACAGTGCCTAAGGCACTAGACAGCTAGTCAGAAGGTTGGTGGTTCAAACCCACCAGCCACTCCTTGGAAGGAAGGTTAGGCAATCTACTTCCGTAGTGATACCGCCTTGGAAACCCAAGGAGGGGTTGCCATGAGTCGAGTCCAACTCGACAGCACATAACAACAACATAGGAAAACATTACAGCCAAAAGACAGGTGAGAGGCTGAGGGGGTAAGCTTTCCAAATGCCCCAGGGCAGATACACTCTACACACACTGGACAGGAGTGACATGCACCAAGAAGAATTGCTGATTGGGTTTTTAAAAACTGAAAAACCAAACTCACTGCCATCAAGTTGATTCTGATTCATAGCGACCCCCATTGGGTTTCCAAGGCAGTAAATCCTTAAGGAAGTAGATTGCCCAGTCTTCCTTCCATGGAGTGGCTAGTGGGTTTGAACCACCAACCTCTTGGTTAGCAGTCACATGTCTCAGGCACTACACCACCAAAGCTCGGTAGGGGTCTCAGACCACTGAATTTCCTTTTCATTCTCCCAAAAGGAAGGAACTGAGGCCCAGCTGTGTTATATAATTGCTGCTGCCACAGCATATGACACTCAGTTCTATACCTGCTGTTTTTCCATGTCTCCATCTCTCTCTCACACCAGACTGTAAGTCCCTTAAAGGTGGTGCCACATCTGAGCACTCAGTATGTGTTGAATTATCTGATTTGCCCCAGGTTACACAGCTTATGAGGGCAGGGCAAGGATTCCAGGTCTCCGGCCTCCTAGGGCAATGCTCTATTAATAGAAAGTCCCTCTAGACAGCAATGACAAAACTCCTTAGTGTCCAAGCCCCGCATGCTCAAGAGCATCCAAACTGGAAAGAATTTTTACGCATAGGCCCTCAACAGACACCCTACGCAGCTGTGTGTTCCTAGGAGGGCCTTTATGTATCTCTGTCCCTGGATTTCTTAATTTCAGGAGGCACAGCAAATTTCCTGCCAGGTCAGCATCAATATCATGACCAGGAAGAACCAGCTCAAAGATTTATCCCTTGTCTCTCTGAGTAGAGATTAGAAATAAATAATTGGGCAACATCAGGTTAAGAGAAATGATTTAACTTTATAAAAATGTGATAATACAGCAAGATTTGATTTTTTTTTCCCCTGGCAAGTGAAGTTTATAAAATACATCTGGAATAAAAATTAGAAATACAACCTAATAAAAATTAGAAATACAACCTAATAAAAATTAGAAACACACACATTTCAAAAAAACAGAGTCATTTTGAGATACAATGGGGAGAAAACAATGAGCATTAAAGCAGCAGCAACACAGGGAGAAAGCTGGTTCTCTCGTGAAGACCAAACAAGTAAGGACCACAGTGACCCTGACCTTTTGTACCAGACTGATCTGAAGGATAAGAGGTCAGGGTTGGCAGGAACCATGAGAGAGGCATGAAGGTTTCTCAAAGGGGACCATACAGGTTGGCAGCCTGGGGCTTGGGGAAGCAATAGCCTTCAATGAACAGGTCTCACACCTCCCTGCCTCCTCCTCTCACAGGGCCTGTCAGCCAAGTGGCAGTGATTCACAGCCAAATCACTATGGATTGGCACTTGAAGGCTGGCTTCCTTCCTGTCCACTGGTGCTTGACCTGTAGCTCTGCAGGTTACTGAGGTGAACTCAGTGGTAGAAACTCATTACCATGTCAACCTAAGCTAGGATGGCAAACTTCCCAGGAAGAACCAAGAAAACTAGATAAACAGCGCTGCATACACAACACTGTTTGGAATGTCCGCACCACAGCCAAGGCAGAATTAGGACCACCTTGGAGAGGCAGGTCAGGAACTGCCAAACCACGTTCCCCAGCCTTTCCCTCTAGGGGAAGGATATCGAGGCTCACCACTCAAAGGATCCTGGGTAGATTCTTGACTACGTTCTGAGGTAGTCTAACTGTGACTTGCACAGGTAGCTGAGAATGACCACAAAAAATGGGGAGCAGGGGCATAAAGAGCTCCCACAGTGAGAGAAGGCTAACATATATAACAGAAGGAACTAGGCTACACGTGGGCTTGAAGATGACCATAGTATGGCAAGGGGTTGGGGTGGCTGGGAGCAGAGCCAGCATAGACCCTGGCACATACAGTTCTCATACTACTTGATGTTGCAGCAGTGTGCTAGGAGATGAGGAAATCCATGGAGAGATTTCCCAGCCCAGACAGGCAGCAATTCTAAGAGGTATTGTTGTTGTCAGGTGCCAACTAGTTGATTTTTAACTCCTAGCAACTGCACGTGACAGAAGAACAGAATTGCCCCCACTGGCTTTCTTCGGCTGTAATCTTTATAGGAGCAGATCGCCAGGTCTTTCTCCTGTGGAACCACAGGGTGGGTTCAAACTGCCAACCTTTTGGTTTATTGCCAAGCATTTAACTGCTGTGTCACCAGGGCTCCTCTTAGTTGAGGGTTATGTGCCTCAAATGCCACATCTTCTGCTACAGACTCATGTCATGATGGAGATGAGCCAGAAGACTTGGAGGTTTGGGGTGAGGAGTCCCAACATTCCCTTCAACTATGGCTCCACTAATGTGAATATGCTGTGGGGGCACAGACTAAAACTTTTAGACTTTAACTTGGAAAACACTTACAAGGTTGCTGCAGATGAGGGAGAAATCAGACCCTAAGATGCTATTAATAGAGAAATAATAAGAACAGAAAGCAAAGGCACTCTTAGATATCTCTACTTTTTATATGTGTGTGTGTGTGTGTATATATATATATATATATATATACACTAATTTATGTTCCTTTTCCTTCTGCACCAGCACTCAGAATTCTAAGTCAGGATGGAATGTTCTGAAGATGTATGAGGCGATGGTTGTGTGGACGTTACTGTTTTTTCGGCTTCCCACATTTCCATGAACGCCTAATAGGACGCAGCTCACCAAAGTCTTCAACTTCATTTTCGTATTCATCTTCCTGAACAATACCTGTTAAAAGGGCACACACATACACACAATTAAAAAAAAAAAAAAAAAAGTCGAAAATCTTTTGTTCTCATTCCACTGTAAAATTTAACATCCTAGTAAAACCTAATTTCTCTTTAAATGTTGCTTTAAATTAAAGACACAAAGAAAGAATTTTCTTTGAGTACTAATATTACTTCCCAGGAAGACCCAAAGTAAAACACCTTTCTCCAAAATTAAGTTCATTTACAGGCTGGTTCTTTTCTTGCCTTACTGTTGTTGTTGTTGTAAGATGCCATCGAGTTGGCCCCAACTCATAGCGACCCCTCCTTGGGTTTCCAAGGCGATATCACTATGGAAGTAGATTGCCCAACCTTCCTTCCGAGGAGTAGCTGGTGGGTTTGAACCTCTAGCCTTCTGGTTAGCAGTCAAGTTCCTTAGGCACTATGCTACCAGAGCTCCCTGCCTTACTGTAGAGGCCCTTTAAATGACAAAAAAATCAAACAAGATCTAATCTCAATCACAGATAGAGTTGGTACACCAATTATCTTTCTTTGAAATACTCATAAAACCATGGTCCCCAGCAGAAGGTAATCCTAAAGATTTTTTTTTTCCATCCTGACAGACATTTGTGCCAAGTTTCCTCAAGGGTTCCCTAGCTCTGAGGTCTGGATTTCAGTGGCATTCAGGTTATGAGGACTCACAGAGGGCAATCTGGGGCCAGTGAAAGACTCCTAACAAGAAGCAATGCAGTTCACTTAGCAATTCCACTCCTAGGTGTATACCCAAAAGACTCAAAAGCACAAACAGATATATATAGACAAATGTTCACTGCTGCGTAACTCACAATAGCCAACAGCTGGAAACAACCCAAGTGTCTTTCAACACATAGATGGAGAAACAAAATGTAATATATACCTATGATGGAATACTATTCAGCCACAAAGAAGAACTCTAGAAGTTTAGAATAGATGTAGAATGCCAATTCCTTTTATCTAATACAATCTACCCTTTGTCTTCTCCCTGTTGCACTGAGGGCCTCGGGTACCCCCTCACTGTAGTCACACTGAAAAGAGTTCAAAACGGAGACAGGTCTCATGGTTCCAAAACCAGGTCCATTATTGCCTTCTGTACCCTATCCCTTACTTTCTCTTTTCAAATCGTTGAATGCCTTAGGTACTATCCCTTCTCACCTTATTGGGTCTTTGACATACCTACTCGTCGCTTTCTGCCTACTGAAATTTCCTTTGCTTATACCTGACAACTAGAATTTCAGGGATCCTCTACCCAGACTATCTGATTTCTAACCCTATAGCTCCAAATTCTCCCATTGGCCTCCTTGTATCACCATCCGCACTTGCAGTACTACGCTCTGATCTCTTGATTTCCAAATTCCTACTCTCCATGTATCTCAGGAGTCCTCCCCTATACACACACACACCCTCAATCACAGATGTTTTAACTACTCATTTGCCAGACCTGCCTTTCTGTCCAGGCCTCTTCTGATCATAACCCATTAACTGACTAATCTGACCCTACTAGCATCCATGTTTAGGAAAGAAATCTGATTCACTATACACAGCCTTTAACCCTCAGTAGGAAGATGCATCCAAGTTTCCTGAGCAGTTTTGTTTGTTTTTTCACAGATATATTCACAGGTACAGAACTATGCTAATACATAGACACTAGACACTCATGTTTATTGACGTAAATAGCTGAGTGTCATGCTCCACTGGACCAGCAACAGAAGTGGCTCCAAGGGGCACACGTAGGATTCTAAAAAGAGGGGTGGAAAAAGATTGATCCAGTTCCAAGATTCCCTCAAGGGACAGATGCATCAAGGTATCCAGGTAGAGGTTCATGCAGGGCAGTGGGGAGTGTGGGTTTATATACCTAGTGCTTATGTGCCAGGATACATGCAGGGGGACTAGGAGAAAACATGTCTAATCCATGATGGATGGGATTGTTTCTGTACTAGTTTATGGATTCCAACTGATGTTACCATGAAGTCCAGTGTTTAGCGTGTTTTTTCCTGGCACAAGTCCCTTGCTCAGTAAGGTACTCCGGGTTCTTTCCCAGAGTCCTTTGCAGGCAGGATCCATCTTGTAGTGTTCAGGACCCTCATACTGACACAGGCAAACATTTATCAAGGGATGGCTTTGCAATACATCCTTAGAAGTCAGTGTATTCAGTAATAAGTAGTGACGGAAAGTCATCAGGTTATAGCTCATGATAGACAAAAAGGGTTTTAGCAACTAATAAGAGCCCAGAATAACTGTCCTCACAGTACAGATGGTTGCTGTACCATGTTGCCAATAGCTTGACTCACTTGGGATGATGCTCATAGATAATGAGTGGCCACTACTGACATCACTGGGCAGCTCCACTTCAGATTCATCTGGGCGCCAGCAGTATCTAGAACCCTGAGACCCAAAGCATTGCCTGTTCTTAGGATAAAGGACTTCTTACCTTCTTCCTTTAACCCGAGCTCTGTTTTCCTCAGCCATTCCCATGCATCCCTGACTGACAGGATCAGAACGTTGACCAGCTGACTCATCAACTCTTGCCCTAAAGAAGTCAAAGAACAAAGGCTCTGAGAAAAGAGGCCACTACAGGGAGTGAAACACCACACAGTAGATAAAGCCAAAGCCCACACCCTCCAAGAGCAGGTATGTATATGTGTTTCTCTGGAGGGGAACCACAGGGTAAGGACCCAAAGCTGCCTTCTGTGACTATAAGCTTCAAGGAACAGCAATCAATAAGTTACAGTTAAAATGCTAGCCCGACTCTGTTACCATTAAGTATGTTTGATGAAATCACCAATAGCAAACCATTCAAGGAAGCACGTGTTCAAAATGTCATTAAACCTGAAACTGAAGAGGGTGTCTGAATTATAGAATATGTTTTAAAACATGCAATTTCACTAATTTTATACATAACTTCTACTCAGTGTTGCTAAGGAAGCTAGGGGAAGTCTGCTTCAGTACCACATAAGAACTGCATATAATTAAAGGTTCACATTGGATATGGTTTAAGAACATTGTTGTTATCGTTGTGTCCCATTGAGTTCAATTCTGACTCATAGCAACCCTATATGATAGAAATGCCCCTACAGGATATTCTAGGCCTCCATCTTTACAGAAATAGATCGTCAGTTCTTTTCTCCAATGGAGCCACTGGTGGGTTTGAACTGCTGACCTTTCAGTTAAGGACACCGATCCTCCTACAAGGAAGAGACCAGCTACACATCTCTAGATCCTATTCAAGGATTCAACACTTAATAGGTGCCCAAGAAATTCTCACAGAATGAATGAATCAAGAGAAGTTCACAGCATGGTGAACATAATTAATATCACTGAATTGTCCACTTAAAAATAGTTAAAATGACAAATTTTCGTCATACATGTTTGCACAATAAAATTAAGACCTCAAGACCTTAAACATTCTCCTTTCCTCATCAATAGCACCAAAGAAAAAACCAGCCCAGCCCAAGACAAATTCTTAGTTAGGGGGTTGGAAAGTCCAAACGATGAGGTTTTACTGTAATTTGAGAACATATGCTCCTCACTTGTATTTCAGCTAATGCCAAGACTGCATCCTCCCCTAGTCAGACGTCACGACTAAGTGGTGACTCTGGCTCTACCTGTGTTCTTGAACCCCAGGCCTCTGAATGGTTTCTAAATGCATTTGGGCCCCCATTTCTGGAGCTCCTTACCACCATTCCAGGCCTTCTGCCTGTAGACTTCCTCCACCACATCTGAAACCTTCTTGATGTTTTCCTGGACCTTCTTCTGTAGGATATGGCCGTGCTCTTTCGAGCCCAGGTGGCTGCAGATCCACATGCTCTGCTCGATGTCCCGCACCACCAGCTGCCCTTCACTGATGGCCGGATCCACCTTCTCATGGAAAAATTCAGAGTATCTCTGGTAGGCCACTTGCTGCCTCTGGTGGCTTTCTAGACGGATATGGTGCTCATAAGATTCACTGTTCCTCTCCAGACTTTCTTTCCTTTCCAGCTCAGCTCTGGAAAGGGCTGCAGACTCTAAAGTCACCTCCTCAAACGTGTCACTGGGGCTGAAATAATTCTCAGGACCACGGATAAACTTAACTCCACACAAGTCGCACTGGGTCCTGTCGACATCCGCCTTTTTGAAGTTGCCAGCACCAGGCTCCCTGGTCTCTTCTCTGCAGTGCTCTGCCTGGGCACTCACCCTTCTCCTCCAGCTGACACACAGAGACACCACCAGGCATACTCTTCTCAACTTACGCTGGACGGAAGCCTTCCACTGCTTCTGAGAGAGGATGCCAGCAAGGAGGTGGTCTCGGTCTTCTAATGCCAGCTCATCCGTCTCATCCTGATCAAACTCATACTCTGGTTCAGCAAAATAGTCCACAGAGTCCACAGAGAGTAAACGGTTTAGTCTGACCTCCTCGTGATAAAGACCACGGACCACAGACCCTTTGGTGTGCATGCTGTCCCACCGCCAGCAGCAGTCCATCAAGTATTCTTCATCCCGCTCAAAGAGCAAGTCCTGCAGCGCCTCAGCCACAGACTTCATGCTGACTGCAACCAACACTCGCCTCACCACTCTGAAGAGCCTCTCAGGAACGTGGTCCGGGAAGTCCATGCTCATCAGCTGCAGTCGCCTCTCAATCTCCTCAAAGTGACAACACAGATAAGGCTTGCAGCACGGCTGCAGAATCTCCTCGGTGTTCACAAGCATCACCAAGCACAGCACCAGTGTCCGCTCTGCCTCACCAGAGATCACATAATTTATATCACTGAAGGCATCGAGTAGGACATTGAACCTCACATTCTCATAACCACATAGCACTCTGACGAGGTAGGAGAGCTGGAATCGGAAATCATGAAAGGCTCTTGTCACGTCCTTGGGTTTATATTCCTGAATGATGTAGAACACATCCCTGAGCTCCTTGTCCTTCTTGCTGAACAGGAACTCCCAATAGTGCAAGAGTGAAATGTAGCTCTTGGGGAGGCACAGGATGGCATTCTTCCAGAGGCGGGCAAGAACCACTCCACAATGGACAAACTGGAACTCCAACAAGGCCACTGTGTTTCCAATGCTAGGAATGAGTGGTTCTTTGCACCTCCTGACAAGGACATTCATGAAACGGAAAAAGAGTGTCTTGTAGTCTTCAGGGTTCCTGTACACATAGAACTGATGGATGCAATTCTCCAGCAGCCGGATGAAGCACAGGTGGGTTTTCTCTGTGCTTTCATCATCCTTGTTGGGCACCAGCATGCCGAATTTCCCTTCTATTCCTTTCATTCTGCTGCCTCTACCACTGCCCCCTGCCTCTTTTTCAGACTCGAGAGCCTTGAGTTCTCTGTGGTAGCTGTCCTCTTCCTGGTGGAGAAGCTTTTCAAACTCCTCTGGGAAGCTGGAGGAGACAAGGAAAGCCTGCATGGCACTCAGCCACAGGTCTGTTGACTCCCGTCGGGTCTGTGACCCTTCATTTTGAAACAGAAAGTGGATGTACTCTTTCAAAGCAAACCTATAGGATCGAAATGATTTGTAATTGGGTTTGAGGATTTCTTTGCATGCTATAGGATTTTCTGATAACACTCTCTGATGGAAATGCTTGGGGAAGAGGACATTCAAAAAGGATCTGCAAAGGCCATACATATCTGTAGGCAAAATATGATCAATTTCTTCAAGGTCTTCAGCTAAGATTTTAGGGAATACTTTTTTGGCTTCCAAAAGCAATCCATTGATTGCCACCAGGTGTATTTTCGACTGAACCAAACACCTGGCCTCACAACGCCGCAAAGGCTTGTGGAAATCTTCACAGTTTTCATCCTCACATTTTAAGCCTACAATAAACCTCATGCAGACCCCTGGGTAGGTCTTTCCAAGCAGGCTCTGTGTGATCTGACACAGCCTCTTCAAAAGGTGTTTGTTTAATGCTAATTTCACTTGGTCAGTCGTTACCAAGAAGTGGTCTTTTGTTTTCTTCTCTCTCAAGTTTAAATCCAAGTCAAAAATTATTCTCAATATGGGTCCAGGGTCATTCTGAGCTATCTGGCAATATCTGGCATCTACCTGGGAAATCCCAAAAAACTCAAAGCAAGATTTGACCATTTCCTTCTCAGCATTGTTAGTCACCCTTTTGAGAGCCTTGACCAAATTGAGGAGAACTTCCAAGCCCCCTGGGGCCAGAGCCAAGACCTTCTCAGGCTCAGCTTCACAGTGGTTGGCTGCTTCATAGAGTGCTTCCACCACACCGGCTGAGTGGTTGAGTGTGTCAAATCTGAGAAAGGCATCTTTGAGCTTCTGAAAATCTCTCAGGATTACCCCCTGAAGGAACTGGGCCTCTGCAATGCCAGACCACTGACTGGTTTGATAGCAGAGATCAAGGGCTTCTCTCAGAATGGCTTTGGTATTTTCTATGTCAGACCCCCTGGCCACGTTGAGCCGGGCCACCGCCAGCAGGCATGAGGCCTGGAAGTCCTTGTTGGCAGTAAGCCTGGCAGCCTCCAGGAGGTAACCATGTTGCTTCATGAGCAGGGCAGCCTCCTCTCTCCGACCTTCCCTGTTCAGAAGATCTGCGGCTTCTGTTAGCTGTTTCCGAGACTTCAGGAACACCAGCTGGTCTTCTATGTCTAGTTTTGAAAGGACAGCCATCATTTCCTTGATCTTATTTGTACTTAGGTATTTTGCTGCAGCTTCCAAATAAAACTGACTAGCAGAGTAAGACAGCTTGGAAATGGAAAGGGCCTTGCTCTTCAGCATTGCCTCATACCTGCAAAGACAGACAATGCAAATGTCAACTTATTATCACTCAACCAACAGAAATTTTCCTTCAAAATACAGAACAGAAAAACTTACATAAAATTCCCACCTATCAACATAAATTATAGAACAGGACCTATACTAACCAAGCATTTTTAGAAATGCTTCATTTTTCACTAAAAAAGTAAACACTTTATTCTCCAAAAAGGCCAGTCATTAGTGTATTTCATTAATAAAATACACAGGAGCTGCAATTCAAATAAATGGAGGTTTCAAAGCCAATATGTAGGGCAAAATTTATGCAGAGTCAAAATTATCCTTGAAAAAATATTCCTTAAACTCTCATAAAACCAAAAAACCAAACCCACTGCCATTGTGTTGATTCTGACTCATGGGATATGCAGAGTCCATCTCAGCCTCTGTGTGCAGAGTAGAACTGCAGAGTAGAGATCAAGGCTGTGACTTTTTGAAAGCAAACAGCCAACCCTTTATTCCAAGATGCCTCTGGGTGGGTTCAAACTGATAAACTTTAGATAAGAAGATGAGCAGAAACCATTTACACCACCCAGGTATCCTTTAAACTCCCATAAAAGCATGATAATCATTTCAGGTATACAACTCTGTTCAGTGCAGTGTGTGATTAATGAGAAACACTGATGATGGGTGCTGAAAATACAAGGAATTACATTAGTCTTTTTCTTACTATCCAACTTACAGTATGTCTCTTTTGCCAGGTGTGCATGTGGCTGAATTAGTGTGCAATTCATGAAGTTCCAAAAGGCTCCCTTTACTTTGCTGATCAGTCAGTATGTATCCACACACCACTAAGTCTCCATGTATTAGAACAACCCAAAAAACATGATTCCTTTTGAACACTCACTTAACAAAATCTGTTTCCTCATGAGAGAAATACATAAAGACCATTTTATGATACCTCAAGGTTATCCTAAAAACATCAGATTTCCTAGTACAACAGGCCCCCCATTAGAGTGTGTAAATAAATATGAAAGAAGGGAATATACTCATGTGTCCACTGGCTGATGGAATATAGAGTATTTTTAGCAAGTTTAGGAAACCACCCAGATACTCTCTTTCTAATTTAAGAGCTGAGAGAAGCTATTTGGAGGAGGAATAACCCTGAGAAGCGTCCTTCATCTCCAATGGATGGGAAAATTTGATTATAGATGTTTAGGAGTGACCTTTCTCTTTTAAATTTAAAATATCCTCAATGCTTCTTTAGTTAGGCCAGTTAGCAAATGAATTCTCCATTCAGTATGCACAGCGTTCAAAGGGCACTCATAGAAATCTAATGTGAGGCTCCACTTAATACTGAGACTGCACTTAGAGTTCAAACGAACATACTGTTGAAACCTCTCTCATTTGATTTCTGAACTCACAAGGTAATTGGTCTGTTCGATTACTTACAATGCCACAGAATCACATCCATGTGTTTATCATGCTCATAATGGCTTATGCATATTTACTGGGTGCCCAATTAATCTGATAGCCAATACATGCCACTCACTGATTATAAATTATGTGTCATAAAGCTGGCATTCACTGTGTATCTCATAGTTATAATGGCACGAAGGACTTTGATAAAGGAATATGCTCAATTTCAAAAAAAGTAAAAACATTGTCTTTATCCAGGCTATAGTTATACAAATGTGTTTACTTTGTGAAGATTATGTGTACTTTTCTAAATACATGTTACCCTTCCATAAAATTTAACTTTAAGATTCAAAGTTTCAGCATCTGGGTCAATTATATTCGTTACCATGTCTAATTTAGTAGAAAGCAAGGAAAATATAGAACCAATCCATGGCTCACTCTTCCAGGCCCAGAGAGCTGACTCAAACACCTGCTGAGTAGAAATGAACAACAGCAGAGTCTCATTCTGGCTCTATCATACCACCAGGAAGATCTCAACCAGAGTAGGGAACACATGTTATCTCCAGATTCCTTGTCTACTATTAACTCCACCCATCTCCACGTCACCAGTGTAATGTTGGCTAAAGCTAAACGCTCAAAGGGGTTTTCCCTAATCCCTGCCACACACTCACTGGGTCATGTGTGAAACTTTTGTGTCCTACAACTGAAGGTATACGCACATTCATATTATACTTGTACACGGAAGTGCACAGCTGGGGACCTACCAATAGATGATGATTACACAAAATCCTGACTGCCCACTAATGCTCTTCACTTTATCCATCTACACATCAGCAAAACTGTCAAATGAGCAAGTAAAGGGAGAGGACAGAACTATCAGACACAAAATGTCAGGATTCTTGTATATGTTATTTACACAATTACACCTTCATTTTCTTCAGTTCCCTCTCCACATGATATTGTGTCAAAGTTTATAAAAGGAAGTGAAAAAACAGGGGTCCTGCTCTCCGGGAGCTCTTGACTCAGCATGGAGGCCTCCTCTCTAGTAGAAGGAAAGGGTATGGTTAACTACATTAGAAGTAGCATAATACTATGCAGGGCAAGCTGCCCTCAGAGGGGTAGGAGGAGGACCTGGGAGGGAGGGAGGAAGAGAAAAGGGAGAGAATAAAACCACCTACTTCTCAACTGCAATAGCAGCTTCTTCATAAAGCTCCTCTTGACAGTACATTTTGAGTGCTAGATCAAACTCCTGAATCTGTTCAAAGCATCTGAAAGCATCTTTGTAGCACTGGCTTCGCTTATAGAAATAGGCAGCATCTTTTATCTAGGACAGAGTAAAATTTTCTTATTAAAGCATGCACAACATAATTTTTTATCTTACCAAAAAAAACCAACATGACATTTGTTAGAATGTTAACATTGTTAATACCATGTTACTTGTTAGAATCCAGTGAAAGACACTAAGACATAGAGAATATTAAATTCTAATTCTCTACATGGAGAAAAATCAAGTTAAATCCCAACCTCACACCATACATAAAGGTAAGCTCCAAATGACTATTATTGTGTGGTGTAGTAAATTACATGATATGGTTTTTCTATCCATAGGATTTGTAACTTCCACTTTGCCCTGAGTAACTGAGTAAGCCATTTGTTAAAGTCATCTCCCTGGAGCAATACAAAGCAATCTTCTGGGAAGTTTGCACTCTTTCCGGTGCATAGAATTCTCATGTTGGGATTGGTTAGTTTGGCCACTCTGCCAGGCTCAAAAGGAGCCCTCCTAGAGGCAGAAGGAATCTCTCACTGCCAGCTGAGAGACTGAGAGAGGTGCTGCTGAGAGAGAGATGTGAAAGACAGGAACTGCTGAGAGAGTGATGTGCTACTGAGAGAGACTGCTGGCTGCTGAGTGAGATGGCCAGTTGTGAGAGACTAAGCTTGTTCCTCAACTTGAATTGAACCTGTTGCTTCCCTAATAAACCCCATAATCCTAAGTTCTGTGTGCTCACTGCAGCAAATTACTGAACCCACCAGAGAAGTGGTGGGTGCTGCAGGAGGAACAGTTGGTGACAAGGTTAGTAAGAGGGAGACAGCATGTCTGGCCTCACAGGCATAGGCCTTGGGCTACTGCAAGTGATTCTGTCCTCCACTTGTGAGGCTAGAGGAGGTCACAAGATGTGGCCTCCCTGCGCCTTTAGCATATTGCAACCTTGAGGTAAGGGAACTCTTCAACAAAACCCAAAACATATAAACTTTAGAGAAGAAATTGATGGGTCTGATTACATAAAAATTGTTTAGCAAATTACACATGAAGTAAAGTTAACAGAGAGAAAATAAACATTAACATCTAGACCAACAATCCAGTAGACCTTTCTGTGAAGATGAAAACGTTCTGTATCTGCACAGTACAATATGGTAGCCACTAGAGCTCTGGTGGTAAAGTGACTAAGGCATTTGACTGCTAACCAGAAGGCTGGTGGTTCAAACCCACCCACTGCTCCTCAGAAGGAAGACTGGGCAATCTACTTCCATAGTGATACTGCCTCAGAAACCCAAAGAGGGGTCACTATGAGTCAGATCTGACTCCATAGCAGTGAGTTTGGTTCTTTTGTTTGGATATTGAACTTGGCAGATTTAGAAGATAAGATAGATTCCTACAACTACAGAAAACTTTCCTGGCAATACACTGAAAACTACTGTGTTTTTATGCATATACCTTCCATGTTTGTCTGTCAACCACTCCTTCCCAGGAGGTATTTCTGTAAAAGCACTATGCTGATTATTTTACAGAAATATGTGGAAAAAAATTAACAGTTAGCAACATGTAAAAATAAATTAGCATAGCAGCATTTAGGAAAATTCCTCCCAGAGGTGGGGAGGGAGTAACTGATAAATAAATGCATAAGGCACACATTATTTACATAAAAATATGGTAGTCAAAGGATATAAACTGGCAGTTCACAGTGGGGAAAACTTGAATTACTAACAAATAAATGAAGATGCCCAACCTTACTAATAATCAGAGAAATCTTAATTAAAACCACAGAGAAACACAGATATCAGACTTACAAAAGTTAGAAAATCAGAACCTACTAACCTTGGTCAAGGATATGAGGAAAACAGAATCCTTGTTCACAAAGGTATGGACATTTGGAAAGCAAAGTAGCTATCGTTGATAATACCTGCCTTTGAGCCAATTCTGATTCATAGCAACTCCATGTATTATAGAGTAGAACTGCTCCACAGGGTTTTTCTGACAGTAATCTTCACAGAAGCAGACTGCCAAGTCTGTCTTCTATGGTATCACTGGGTGGTAAGGTCATATAGTCTACTATGCCAGGAATGAGAAACAGAAGAGGTATGGCATTACACTGGTAATCAAAAAGAACATTTCAAGACCTATCCTCAAGTACAATGCTGTCTGATAGAATAAAACCTACACGCCTACAGGGAAGACCAGTTAATATGGCTATTATTCAAATACACCCACCAGTCACTAACGCCAAAGATGAAGAAATTGAAGATTTTTACCAGCTTTTGCAATATGAAACTGAAGAAACATGCAATCAGCAGGTACTGAAAATTACTAGTGATTAGAATGCGAAAGTTGGAAATAAAGAAGCAGCATCAGCAGTTGGATATATGGCCTTGGTTACAGAAATGATACTGGAGATTACATGATAGAATTTTGCAAAAACAGTGATTTTTTTTATTGCAAATATCCTTTTTCAACATCATAAACAGTGGCTAAACACATGGCCTTCACCAGATGGAATACACAGGAATCAAATCGACTACATCTATGGAAAGAGACAATGGAGAAGCTCAAGATCATTAGTCAAAACAAAGCCAAGAGCTAAGTGTGGAACAGACTATCAATTGCTCATATTCAAGTTCTAGTTGAAGATGAAGAAAATTAAAACAAGTCCATCAGAGCCAAAATAGAACCATGATTATACCCCACCTGAATGTAGAGACCATCTCAAGAACAGACTTGATGCACTGACCACCAAGCACCAAAGACCAGATGAGTTGTGGAATAATATCCAGAACATCAGACATGAAAAAAGCAAAAGATCATTAAAAAGAAAGAAAAGCAAGAGAAGACCAAAATGGATGTCAGAAGAGAGTCTGAAACTTGCTGTTGAACATAAAGTAGCTAAAGAGAATGGAAGAAATGACTAAATAAAAGAGCTGAACAAAAGATTTCAAAGAGAAGATAAAGAAGACAAAAGAAAGGATTATAATGAAATGTGTAAAGACCTGGTGTTAGAAAACCAAAAGAGAAGAACATCCTCGGCATTTCTCAAGTTGAAAGAATTGAAGAAAAAATTCAAGCCTCGAATTGCAACATTAAAAGATTCTATGGGCAAAATATCGAACTATGCAGGGAGCATTAAAAGAAGATGGAAGGAATACACAGAATCACTGTACAGAAAGAACTGGTCAACATTTGACCATTTCAGTACATGATCGCGAACAAATGGTATTGAAGGAAGAAGTCCAAGCTGCACTGAAGGATTTGGTGAAAAACAGAGTGTCAGGAATTGACGGGATACCCACTGAGATGTTTCAGCAAATGGATGCAGGGCTGGAGGTGTTTACTCACTTATGTCAAAAAATTTGGCCAACACCCATTTCTGATCAAAACTCTCAGCAAAATAGGAATAGAAGGGACATTCCTCAACATAATAAAAGGCATTTATGCAAAACCAACAGCCAATATT